CCTAGAACAACAGCAGATAGCTCCTTTCCCATTGCTGACAGGTTAATAAGACAGTAGTACACGCAGAAAGTATTTCATCTTAGAAACACATTTGTCAATAGAAGAAGCAAATGATACAGTCAGCTTCTTGCTCAAGTAATAAAGTAGATACTTTGAGTTTATAGTGAGTATTTATTCCAAGTTAGATACAGTCTGTGCTCTTAAGTTACTTATGGCTTAGTAAATGTTATGGACAAGTAGATAAGTGATTACGTTATAGTGTAAGAAGTTTGGAAAAGATTATTAAGTCATGGGAGAAAGAAGGACTGCTTATGCACAGGGTGACAGCTCAGGGAGCAGAGGTGCATGGAGGGATGGACACAGGGAAGAGGTAACTATGGGGAGGAAGTGGGAGGGAAGCTGTTGAATTACGGTAAATTGTGGCCAATGTCATGAGACAAAGTATATGTGAACTGTTGTATGGAAACTGAATTTGCTCTGTAAATTTTCACCCAAATCACAATTAAAAAAAAAAAAAGATTATTAAGGACAAGATATTCTGGAATGACATAAGAGAGACACCTGACCCATTTTTTTTTTATTATTTGCACTTTTTTTTTGGTGAGAGGGGTCCTGGAAGCCTTCCTGGAGGAGGAACTTTCTGTATAAATGAGGATGCAAATGATGAGGTGGAAATTGCCCCAGCAAAGGTGGAGTGGTGGAATTATATAGGTGGAATGAACTATTAAGCATCTTTAAGTATTAGGTGAAAAGAAATTCAGTTACAGAAAGGTTAAGTGGCTTATCCAAGGGTATGTGTTGTGCGCATACCGAGCTTAGCTCTGCACTTATGCTATCGTTAATCTCTAAGGCGTAGCTCTCTGTGGAATGTTGAAGCCAGCATGTATGTAATTCCATTCAAGTAACTAGTAGGGCCAGAAAATATATAAAGGTATGAGTGGATATATTAGGTAAGAAGGAAAAAGATGATAAAAGATGTTCTAAAGGTTGCTTTTAACCGTGTCTTGAGTTTGAATAAATATTTCTGTTTTAGACCCTTCTACTAAAGGACTTTCAACTTTGGAAATGCCACGAGAATCCTCGTCTGCCCCTACCTTAGAAGCAGGTGTGCCAGAAACAAGTAGCCATTCCTCAATATCAAGTAAGGCTTCCTCTGGTGCTTGTTTCCCCTGTACATTGACTTTGGAATATTATCTGCTGTCTTGTTTCCAGTTTCTGAACTCTTGGAGTCTTTTCTTGTTCTTGTTGTATTTCCTTAGTGACTATATTGTATGCTCTCAGGTCCACATTTGGCATTATCCTAAGTGTTTGTTTGATAAGTGAATATGGTTACTGATGAGCTAAGAATCCTAACTTGTTGGTGTCTCATCACTGAATTCCATCATTCTATAAAATAAAAATGATATATTACTAGTCTAAACATAATTTATGAGATTGGTTTGGGCACAAATGGAAAGCATTGTCGATGGCAGAATTTTACATGGAATGCCTTTATTTTTATTGGAATCACCTCCATCATTGACAACATTTTTTCTAGATCATCATAAAATAATGTATCAAACATATCACGATCCCAAAGGCATGAGTGAGTCCAGCCCTTTTGGATCACACACAGATAATAGTGGCACCCAATTGAACATAGAGGAGGCAAACATTGTGAACCTGCCCTGTTTCTGGATCCAGATTTTGTCCATGAGGAGCTTGAATTCCATTGACATGAAGATAAAGGTGTCAGCCTGGCTTAGTGGAGTCAAGAGGCGTTAGCATGGGGTGTTCACAATAGGAATCAGGGATACAAGTGAAGGTGCAACCTCTGCCGACCCTTGTCCCATGCCCTAACACACGCTGCCACGTCGAGGTCGTCTGAAGGAAGAGCTGATTAATTTTTACTTGATCCCCTTTTGAAATGAGGATGATACTGGAAAACCAGATGAAGGTCTTACTCTCAATGCTGAACTGGTAGGACGGAAAATCATCATCTTCATCCCTCATTCATTCATGCATTCATTCATTCAGCAATTCTTTATTTATTGTGTCTGTTGGCTGCCAGGCACTGTGGTTGGCACTGAGGATGAACGGCAAATAAACAAGTCAGTTCTTACCCTCCAGGAATTTACAGTCATAATAGTAACAATAGACCAAAAAAAACAAACCCACTGCCATTGAGTCGACTCTGACTCATAGTGACCCTACAGGACAGAGTAGAACTGCCCCAGAGGGTTTCCAAGGCTGTAATCTTTATGGAAGCAGGCTGCCTCATCTTTCTCCCACGGAGCAGCTGGTGGGTTCAAACTGCCGACCTTTGATTAGCAGCCAAATGCTTTAATCACTGCACCACCAGAGCTCCTTATGGTAACAATAGCTACCATTTATTTGATACCTGTCATGTGCCAGGCATTGTGCTAACCGGACACACATTGTTGCGTTTTTCAATCCTTACATCAGTGTGCATGGAAGTATTATTGTCGCTATATTATACATTAGGAAAAAGAGATTCAGAGGGGTTACATCACCGATAAAGTCCTACAGGTAAGGTCATATAGCTTGACCTTATAGTCCTACAGGTAAGGTCATATAGCTTGAGTGACAGAGACAGGAATTGACGCCAGATCTGTTTGACTTCAGAGCCCATGTTCTCCTTAATGCCTCACATGGCCTTAGGAAAGGCAATTTCAGTTGCAACCGAGATTATAGAAGTGCTAAGAAATAGTTTCCAAGTGAGAGTTATTTGCCCATTCAAAAGCAATGAAGAGCTGATAGTTCTGAATCCACTGGTTCTTCTTCTTCTTTTTTAATCACAAAAGATCTGTTTGAGGATGTGATTTTTAAAATGCTCATTTTTAAGTACACACGTGAAAATCAGGAAAGCGTATTTTTCTCCTCCTCATTTGCCATGAGTCACTTGAAAAAACTGAAGATAGTGAATTCCAGTTGGAATTTCAAGATGGGTATAATTTGAAATAGAAGAATTAAATCAGTGTAACTTCATCATTAGTTAAATGTATCATACAATAAATGTATTGTGATCCCCAAGTCATGATTGCATCTAGCCCTGTGGTTGTAGCTTAGGGCATCATTGGGTTTCCACGCTCCCTCCTCCCCTTCATTAAAAGCATGTTTGGTGGTGTGCTCTTGGCGGCTCAATGCCAGGTGCCTTACCCATTCAGCTGAACAGGGAGGGTTTTACTCCCGGGGAATTCTGCCGTCTTTTAAAACAGCTGAGCATTGGAGAACTTACTGAGTCATTTGAAGTTCTCAATCCTTCTTTGCTTGAGTCTGAGAGAGGCTGCCAAGCTTTACATTTGTTAAATCTGTGAAAAGATTCCTGCTTTGAGTTCTACTTGAAGCTGCACTTTACAAGCGAGTCATAGAATTGTAAATTTTACCAACCAGCAACCCAAATCAAGGATTTCTCATAGTAGTGCGAGTAGTTACTTCAGTGAATTCATGAAGAATATGGACTCCAAGACACAAGAATTCCTATCACACCTCTTTTTTGATCAGTTTATCAGCTGATGATTTTGTAGCTAAACATGTCGTGATCCATTACTCAAACAGCATGCTAATTACATTAAAACAATGTTATAACTGATTTTACATCCCACCAAGGGGCTGCCTTGGTGCCATGATTGTGAAACCCGTGTATAACATTTAAGGCTTTCGAGAGGCCATGCAGTCATGCTGGTTGCCATCATCCCCTGCTAGGACACGTAGCTCAGAGCTCCAGTTTCTGAAATGGTCCTTCTAAGAGATGTAAGTTCTCAAATATCCAGATGTTGGGATGTGGGGATCACGGAGGAAGGGCACGTAACGATGCACTGCCTGGTGCCCTGGGCTCGAAAGCGATTGACAGGGATGCTCAGGGGAAGAGGAGAAGTGCAACAGGTTGCTTGCTGACTCCACAGCCTACTGGCAGAAGTGCTTTTCATTGTTTTTCTGGTTTGGACATGCTTATAACTTAACAGTTCACTGGTGGGATATTGTCAATGCTTAACTGCAGCATACAAATGTTACCCAATTTTTAAAACAAAGACATGTACTAGAATATACTTATGGAATGTTGTTTGATTCACATTTTCTCAAACTGCTCAACTAAACATTTAAAACAGAATTGACTTTGAAGTCAATATGTTTTGGTTTTAGGACCACCTCAATTGCTGGTTGTTTCCCAGTAATACAATTTCATTTGATTTGGTTTCTCTCTCTGAAAATCGGGGTTAATATGTGTCATCCTCCTTCAAAACACACACACACACACACACACCCCTCATGGGATATAATGAAGATTAAAATTATGTGTGTGAAGCCTCACAAGCTCCATGAAAGGGAGTTAAGCTGTATGGTCAAAGCAGTACTGTGTGTCTTAAATCCCTTTCTGGAGCAAGGCACAGTATAAAAAAATTATGTTGTTGTAATGGGATACATATTTGTAGGCTATACACGAGTGCTAATAGGCACTGTTACCTTCTTTAGGGACTGAAGAAAGGCTCCCAGGACAGCATAGTGTCACTTCTCCATTTGGATAGGAGCATACAATTTACCAAACAATTGCAAATAGCTGATGGAGGTTCAATTGCAGTTCTGTCGGCCATGTGGAGCCTTTGTGTGCTGTGGAAATCTGTTCCCCCTGGTAATCATCTCCTAATTTCCTCCATATAGCTCAGTATAGGCAGATGAAAAGGGGATCCCTGGGAACTCTGACAATGAGCCAATTAATGAAGCGACAGCTGGAACATCAGTCTAGCGCCCCCCTTAACATCAGCAACTGGGACACTGGTGGGTCATGCTTTTTCTTCTTGTTTTGCCTCTCAGATTAGCTAATGCCACTTCTTTCTCTGTGTCCACTCTGCTCCCTTGTTAGGGAAAAAGGTTTCTCTCATGGTCTTTGGTTGAAATAATTTTAAAAGATAAGGTGATCGATAAGTCTATTTAAACTTTCCAAGTGTCTAGAGCCACAGCTCTTCTGTCTAGTTTGCTACAACTCTCCCCCCCTCCCCCAAAGATCCAGATTCCAGATCTTAGGTTATTTATTTGGGAGTTAAATGGTGGAAATACATAGAAAAGGGAATGGAACTTTAATTTCATGATGCAAAGAAAAAAAAGAAAAAAACACACATCAGAGAACTAATGTTATCTAATGAGGTAATGTATGTGATAGTGTTTTATCAATTATGAAGTACCAGAAAAATAAGAGACTAGTAATTATAGTAACTGTCAGCTTGTTTTGTTATGTGCTGTCAAGTCAGACCTGACTCATAGCAACCCCTCCTTGGGTTTCCAAGGCAGTATTACTACGGAAGTAGATTGACCAACCTTCCTTCTGAGGAGTGGCTGCTGGGTTTGAACCGCCAGCCTTCTGGTTAGCAGTCAAATGCCTTAGGCACTATGCTACCAGAGCTCCTAGTGTACCTTGATCTGCCAGTAGTTTTGGGCATACGAGGTCTGTGTTTTAGTCGGCGGGGTCACCAGGTGGCAGTCGCACACCCTCATGCTCACATGGTGGAACTGCATCTAATGTCAATTTTAAAGTAAGAATCACCTGCCACAAAACGTCTGCTTTAACATGAGCACCCTGCACTTTCTGAACTTGGCTCCACCTTCTCTACATGTGCTTTCTCAAGCCAGTAGGACCGCCACAATCCTTCTCTTCTAAGTGCCTGCCTTTTCTTTCTCCTTTTTTTTTTTTCCCCAAAAATTAAATGGGTCATTTGAGAGAGAAATTTATATAGGTAAAAGCACTTTGAAACATACATGCACTATGAACATATACGTGTTTATTACTGTAATATCCTCTGGGGGCCATCTTGGATTGGACTATTTTAGTATCTTGGTTAGTACTTTTTGGTTATACTTATTTGAGATTACTTTCTTCTTATGACCAAGAATTATCATTTCCACAAAAAGCAAAATCTTGTGATATTGTTACTTTTTGTCCACAGCCATAATATTTGTTCACATTCATCTTCTTTTCCCATTATTAAAAAAAGGAGTTAATTTAGATAACTGAATCTCACAGACCACACCTCACCCTACATAAAATAGACAGTTTCAGTTCTCCTGGCCTTTATGAGTGTTCTTAACACTTTAAAGTTTTAAAATGTTTTATATTCCTTTCAGTAGTAAGTGATAGTGAGTAATAAAATGGCCAAAAACCAACAGCAAAGAAGAGAAAGTAGAAGGTGTTGGACAACCAGCCTCAAGACTTTGAGTCAAGTCCTTGTGTCCATACCACAGAGGACTGGGTTTCCCTCTTTACTGAGAGGAAGCTGTCTAAGGAGCTGAGAATGATAGTGTCTATTTGGTTTGGTCTCTGTTAACCAGATGCTCAGCTTCTGTTACTTTGACCCAGAGACTCTGAAGGGTATTTTATCTCTGGTAAACAGCTCAGCCAAAAGGAACCATTTCAGATCCTGACCACAATCACAGCCTCATTGGTTGGCTCAGTAGAGTTATAGAAAGGTAAATTCATCTCAATTTCCAATCCACAATTTCATTTAAAAAATCTACACGAGACCAAATAACCCATTTAACTGAATTTTTCACTTTTCAACCAGACTTCAACCTTGTTCATGTCTCTCTGGCGTCTTGTTTAATACTTCCCGTTTACATGCTGCATTTCTTTCACCTGAGTTTTCTTGGGTTTGTTTTCTATCCTCCAAGCTGGTTCTCTGGTCACCAAGTCCTACTCAAGCTTCATCTCAATCTTCTTGTTTTCATTCGTACCAAAAAGTATTTCCCAAATCTGAAACCAGAGGAGAGTGAATGAATGTATCGTACCGTGTTAGGTGGCATGTCAGCTTGACACTGCACATGTTGACTCAGTGATCCACTAGCCTACAAAAGAATGAAGAATGCATGTGCTCCTGTAGGCACGCTGGAAGCAGTCTAACACATGGGTCACGTTTCAGTCCTCTGAGCATGCACGAGCAGGCTCACGGAAAACCCTCCTCTTCTCCATCCATGCTCATCAGGGTGACTCGCTTCTTTAAAGGGCCCATCTGTCATGTAAAACATGTAAAACAGGTGTTCCTGAAGCACACTCCTCCCTTTCTGCCCAACCCCTTTGTCCCTATTCCCAACCCCATACCCCCATTAAACACCTATCATTTCCTTGCTACCAGTTCCATGTTTTCTATATGAGCTTTCTGGTCATTGTCCCAAATGATCGCTTATATATTTGTTCATTTGCATAACATTTCTTCCATAGTTGCGACATTAGCCTTTCATTTCATATCAGAAGGTAAAGAATTTGAGCTTTTTTGGGAGGACATTCTGGATGTTTTGGATGTTTCAGATGCCATTCTGTGTTCAGTTACACTTCCTATACCTGAATGGCAGGTTCGTTGTGAAACCCTAAACCACCCTGCTCTAAGTCTAGGATGTGTCCTCTAAATGTTAACACTCAGTAATAGCAATGACCAAAAAATGGCCCCGAGAGATTACTAGTAAAATGCTTTGTACTGTGAACTGTGTTAAATTGACCACATTGAAGACTGAAATGCTCTATTTATCCACAGAACAGATACAGCCCGGGAAACGCCAGTGTAATGTGCCCACATGCCTCAATCCTGACCTGGAGGGGCAGCCGCTGAGAACAAGAGGTTAGTTCTGTCCCTGAATCTGAGACTGTGAGAGCGGAGAGAGGCTGAAGGTGATATCTACCACATCTACACACATCAGGCGAGCCTTCTATGTTTGTTTGCCAGCCACAGGTATTTCCATAAGTGTGCTGTGGTAATTTTTTGCAGCAACAGGTAAACAAATGACCATTTGTTGTTGTTATGTGCCGTCGAGTTGGACCTGACTAATAGTGACCTCTCCTTGGGTTTCTGAGGCAGTATCAGTATAGAATTAGATTGCCCCATTTTCCTTCTGAGGAGTGGCTGGTGGGTTGAACCACCAGTCTTCTGGTTAGCAGTCAAGTGCCTTAGGCACTGTGTTGCCATAGCACTACAAAAAGATCTGTAGGTGGAAAGCATGTTATTTGTGTAAAAATACATTAGTCACCCAGCAGGTGCTGAAACCTCTCCTTCAGTAGGTCCATAAAGTGGGTCCAGACTTTACTCAAACACCACCAGAGACCAGGGATGCGTGATGTCTCATCTGGGACACGACTGACAGAACGTTCTTCATTATAGGGATCTTCTAACCTTTGGAATCAGATAGAACAAGTCAGTCTCACATAATTTTTCAGATAATTGGAGAAAAGCCCTCATTACTTACTTCCCCAGTCCTTTCTAGACCAGAATCCCTGGGTCTTTCAGTATTCCTCCTAATACATACCAGTTTCCCTTATCACCTTGTGTCTACTATTCTGAGCAGGGTCCAACTTATATATGCTCCTTCAACAATGTGCAACTCAGAGGTGAACAGCTTCCTATCAGCTCCCTGAAACCGCACAAAATATACACTTGACTTTAAGCTGCTCATGAGAGCAAGCTGAGAATAAATCTGTGTTAAGATAAATCATCAGATTTTCTTTGTCTTCAAAAATCATCCCATAGCCAGTTAAACATTGCATTTGTTCTTTTTTCAATTCAGAAAATAGGTCAACAAATCATGTGTAAAAAACAAAAGTAAACAGTTTCCTAACTGGTCCCTTCATTCAGCAGACCTATTTTTCTAGACCATATTTGTTGTTGTTGTTGTCAGCTGCCTTCGATTCAGTCCGGATTCATAGTGACCCCGTGTATAACAGACCAAACACTGTGCAGTCCTGCACCGTCCTAGCAGTTGTTGCTATAGGTGAGCTCTCTGTGGTGGCCAGTGTCAGTCCGTCTTGTTGAGGGCCTTCCTCCTTGTGTTGACCCTCTGCTTTACCAAGCTGGTGTCCTTTTCCAGGGCCAGGTGCCTCCTGCAACATGTCAAAGCACGTGAACCAAAGTCTTGCCATCCTTGCTTCTAAGGAGCATCTGGACCATGTTACTCTTGTAATTTTCCTAAGAAACGAGAAGATCCTCGTCTCCAGTTTCTGTTAATGTTTCTTTAGCAAGGAGTAGTAGTTTTAGTCCCTATATAACATGAGATGAGACTCTTTCATCCACGGGACGACTAGAAAAATCTTCTATGAGTACTAGTCAGGGTGGTTGAACCCTGAGTTGTAGACAGAATCTCCGGTGCTTGTACATGGTCAAGTGACTCAATTAGTAGTGGCAAAAACAGAATGAGGTAATGGGAACAGACAGGGAAAAGGAGTCTCTTCCAGGACAAGCTGGACAGGCCATTGATGAGGTGGCAGCAGGGAGACCGCCGCATGCACACAGCTTGGAGACGAGCCCTTTCATAGTGTTTCCTATCCCCAAGATTCTCAAAGGGCTTTTGTCAGAATCTCATGTTTTGAAGTAGGGTTTAGAGCTGGTCCTCTCCTTATTCAGGTTTCTGAGAACCCTCTCATTCTGTTCCTACTTACTTACAGAATTACCTTGGGTATATCCAGCAGGGGAACCAGGAGTGGTGACTTCAGGAGTATTGCCAGCAACTGGGGGATAATGAGACTACTTGTGAAATGGCAGACTTAGCTGTGGCTCAGTGATAACAAAATGTCTGTGGTTTCTTTTTCCCATTTTACATCTTCTCTTTGTACATTATTCTTTGCTCACATTTCAAAAGCTGTATTCAAATATCTGTTGATTCAGCTCATGTTGCTCTCTGGGGGTTGATGCCCTATAACATAACCTTTCTGCTTTTATCCACTACTGCTATAAATAATGCAGTGTTCATTCTCTGTTGTCACGTGGGAAAACAACTTCACAGTGCTATTGTCAAATATTCCTATTTCTTGACAGATAATAGGTCATTGTATTGAATGCAATGAAAAGATGGATGCCATTTGTATTAGGTAGTGACTGGTTTGAATCCACTCAGATGACTCTGATTCTCTCCCTTTTCTTGACTTTAATTGTGATTACTTATAAGAAAAACTGACACTTACCTTCTGAAAGCCTTGACTCAAAGGTTTGTATCAGTACTTCTAGTAAGACTGTGTCACATCACTGTCTATGTTATGAACAGTTCTGCTTTCAGCACAGGTGTTTGTCATCTGGTAGACAGAGTCAGAAGATGTTCAACAAATATGGAGTGTTGGATTTAGACTTTTTGTGTTCTGATCTCTTGAAGTGATTTCATGGTGTTTAGTAGTCAATCATGTCTTCTTTTAGCTCAATTCTTGCCTTTTCTATTATTAATTGATTTATACTTATGTGTATAATAATGCTCTTTCTTCCACTTGAAACATTTTTATGAAACAATTTAAAGGTCTTTTAATGATGCACGCAGGGTACTTAGGAAAGAGTGCTATGTTAGAGACAGCTGATAAACACAGTAGCCCATTTGGGATCTTAGCTAGTAACATACAGGTCTTTTCAGATGATTTATTTTGCCATTGGAGGCCTTCAAATTTCCTGTTTCTCATAAATCCATTTTGTCACCTTCCATCATGCCAGGGAGAGTGTAGTATGAAAGCATCTTGGCTCTGCTACCATTCCCCCCCCCCCCCATAGAAACACAGCATCCACTTGGCTGGGTTTCCAAATTCTTATTTTGATTCCTTTGGAAACCAGTTCTCTGAATCATGGGGTAAGTCCATACAGTTTTGTTGTGGTTTGTTTGCTTTCAGCAACAAGTTAGCGCTTCCTTGAGAAACAGCTTCTTTAATGGCTGCTGGGTTTTACGGCCTTCTTTTCAATGAGAAGAACTCAGCCTCTCAGTGCTTAGTGGGCAAATCCTGATGTTCCGGATTGTCACCCGAGACTCTTCTGTAGTGCCTCCTTCCTGCAGCTCCCAAAGCGCCTGTCCAGCCCTGGTGACTTTCTGCATAGAACAGCCCCCGACACTTCAGATTTCCTCATCACTGCACTAGGTTGCCAAGATTCCCGGCTCACATTTCTTTGAAGGCATCAAACCCCAGAGTTTCAAACACCGTGAAATGGATTGGTGGAAATGTGGAGTGAGTCACTGGCTGCTTCCTTCAAAACACTCCATGTTTCATTCATGAAGACTTCAGGTTGGAAATGAAGTCTTTTTGGCTGTGGGCTTTATGCTATTACTTCTCAAAGCAGAAACGTTCTTCGCTAGCTCTCCTTGCTTGGATGTGTGGGGTTCGGGATCTTATCTTCTTCCCAAATTAGCAACATCTTAGTAGGAGCGAGCAAGACTTGTAACTCATTTGAGGGTATCCATGAATAGGTTCCCTCGTTTTTTCCATCTGTGCCCTAACACCTTATTAGCGTACATAAGCTCTGTCTGATTTTCTCAAAGGCAAGAAGTGAAAGGGGAGATAGGACTATAGCTGTTTAAACCATACAAGCAGACACAGATAAACCACAATCTGTCTGGAGTTCGCTTGACTACTGAGGGTCTTTCACAGTGTCACTGGATGGTCAAGTCACGGCCCTCCGAATATGACCTTCGGCAGGTTTAAAGGAGAACCGGACCTTTCCTGCCCAGAAACTGACATTTATTCACCAGTTGTGTCTTTGCCTTCCCCAGGTGCCACCAAGTCCAGCCTGTTGTCAGCACCCAGCATAGTCAGTATGTTTGTACCTGCACCCGAGGAATTCACCGACGAGCAGCCCACGGTGATGACTGACAAGTAAGCTTACACCGCCATTTTCTCCCCATGTTTCTAGAATTTGTCTCAGGCCACATGGGTTTTAAGAAAGCATCTGAGAATGTAGGTTTTGATCTTAAGTCAGTATTTGTTCTCCAGCAGATGTAGCTGTGTCAGTGTCCATTTGCAATTTTAGAGGCATAGTGTTGTATGGGCAGCTTCCATGCACGCCTAGGGATTTTTCTTTTTTAATTTGTACACATGCAAAAAATACCCACCTACTTATTGTCCCTGGAAATAATTTCATATGAATAATATCCCTCAACCAGAAGCTGCAAACTGTTAGGCTCGGAGTAAGTATGAGACTTGATAGTTATCCCCCTGCTGGTAGAATACATTCTCGCAATTGCAGATCCGCTATGTCATCTTCTAGCTTGTCAGTTTTCAGTGTCCCCAGATTTCTTACAGGCTTAAGTCCAAGTGCCTTAGCTTTTTATAAAAGACCTTTTAGATTGTGAAGGAATACCACTCCTCACCAGGAACATTTTTTCTAGCCCCATTACCTTTTCTATAGTGTGTCTGATCTCTTCTCACCTCTGTGATTTCATAGATGTCCTTCTCTCTGCACTTGTTCTGCCCAATGAACTCCTATTCATGCTTCAAGAGCCAGCTTAAGGCAAAGTTTCCCGGACCCCGCTAGGCAGAGTTACTCACATGATTCTTTGAGTTTCTGTGACATTCAGTGCATGTCTCTATTCTAGAACACATCACTTTGTATCTACCTATTTATTTGTTTATGCATTTATGTTCTGTCCTAGACTATGAGCTCTTTAGGGAATGGGGCCGTTTCCTCTATAGTTTACACCTTTCACTTCTTGTGCATTACCTGGCACATGAACTTGTAGTCACTGGGTATGAGAAAGAAAAAGAGTTGTAAGAATGCAAGTTTGGAGGGATTCCCTTGTGACTGGTAAAGAAAACCAAACTGATGAAGTGCATAAAAAAAACCCAAAACCAAACTCATTGCCAATGAGTTGGACCTGACTCATAGTGACCCCTCCTTGGGTTTCCAAGGCAGTATCACTACGGAAGTAGATTGCCCAACCTTCCTTTCGAGGAGTGGCTGGTGGGTTTGAAGCCCCAGCCTTCTGGTTAGCAGTCAAATGCCTTAGGCAGTACACCATCAGAGCTCCCATGAAGTGCATAGGCTTCTGATACAAGGAGAGGAAGATGAGGCTGGTGTGAGTGTCCATGGGGCTGACCGCAGGTGATGGTCAACACTGAAGAGGTGGAGGTGTCTGGGTTGTACAGCTGCCTTGGAACGCCCACACCAGGAGCATGTAGGTACCTGGGAAAGGTACTTCTTGGTCCTCCTTTGGTACAATTTCCCAATTTTGTGTCCTCTTACTAGTCCCAATCCTTCTTGGTTGACTTCCTGGTTGCCTGTGCATGTGCTCCGTTTTTCTTCTTTTTATTGTCGAAAGTGTGAATCCTATATTTAAAAAATTCAATTGGGAGAGATTTTATTTTTTTTTTGATAGTTGTTTTGCTCATATTTAAGGAGCTCTAGTGGTGCAGTAGCTAAGGCATTTGATTGCCAACCAAAAATTCAGAGTTTCAAACCCACCAGCCACTCTGTGGGAGAAAGATGAGGCAGTCTGCTTCTATAAAGATTGACAGCCTTGGAAACCCTGTAGGGTAGTTCCATTCTGTCCTCTAGGGTTGCTCTGAGTTGGAATCAACTCAATGGGAGTGGGTTTGGTTTTATGGTTTGGTTTTTGTTTTTATTTAGGAAGGTTTCAGATGGAAGGTCCCCACAACAATTGTGGCTTGGTTTCCTTGCTGTCCCTGGTAGATGTTCCCTTCCTTTCACAGAGCTGCCCAGCTGTAGCAGGAAAGAGCTCTGGCTTTGGGGGAGGATCCTTGGGTGGTGCAAACAGTTTGTACTTGACTACTAACCTAAAGGCTGTCAGTTTGAACCCATGCAGTGATGCCGTGGAAGAAAGGTCAGGTGGTCTGCTGCCATAGAGATTACAACCAAGGAAACACTATGAGGGAATTCCACTGTGTAACAGTGGGGTTGCCATGAGTCAGAATTGACTTGATGACAGTGGCTTTGGGTTTTTTTTGGTTTGGATTTGGTTGAGTTGAATTAAATTGAACTTACCTGAGGACACTGGAAATAACAATAAGTTGTCAATTCCTTAAGAACAGATGTCATTATTTGTGTCTACATATTAGATACACTAAGTATGGTGAGTTTCTAAAACTGGCCTCAGTGGATGGTAGACAGGAGACTGCAATCCAGACTCTCCTGGTCTGCTAGAGCATCTTCTTGAGTCCACTACCCCATCTGTCACCCTCAAATAGGGCATTTCCCAACCTGAAGGCTTAGGAAGGCTTCCATGTGTGCCTAGCCATTTTTCTTTTGTAATTTGGATAAATGCAAAAAATGTCCCATTACTAATAATCCCCAGCAATAATTTCACATGCAGAAAATCTTCGGGCCAGAGCCTCAAACTGTTGGTCTAGATGACATTCATTGTAAGAGGGAGCAATAATACATCACCTGTGGGTCGGATGCTTGTGAGTTGGAAGAAGGTTCTCCATAGTCAAAGAAGCCCTTCTCCATGCACGGATGCCTTGTGTGCCACTTCCTTTGTCTGTGCTGATGATGACATTGGGGTCTCCCCTTTGTTCTTGGAGTGCCACACTGACTTCCCTTTGGAAACTTTCCCAACACTCACCAGAATGACTATGTGCAGTTATATTTTGAAGCCACTGGTTGGCTTTTATGGGAACGACCCCTCTGTTTTTTGTGCAGGTGCCACGACTGTGGGGCCATTCTGGAAGAATACGATGAAGAAACCCTTGGGCTGGCCATTGTGGTTCTCTCCACATTCATTCACTTAAGTCCGGACTTGGCGGCCCCGCTGCTGCTGGACATGATGCAGTCTGTGGGCAGGTGAATGTCAGCTTCTTTAACCTACATCTTGCCATGAAAACTACCAGCTCAAAGTGAAGCATCCAGTCACCTTTCCGAGGCGTGATATTTGTGGGATCAACTCAGACTATTTCCTACAACTGAATGGGCCGATCTTTAGATTGAATCCCCCAGCTGTGTAGTGTCGTGAATCCTCCTGTGAGTGTGAAGCTAGAGGAAACGGCACTAAAAAATCTGCTCTTAGTTGCTTTCCATAACTACGTGAGCTTCTCTATGTAAAGGTGCTCAGACCAGTGCTGGTTAATAGTAAGTGCTTTATACGTATTAGCTATTAGTATTACTACCATTTTCTCTCTTTACCTGTTTTAAGATGGATTCCTAAGTATTTCTAGTTTGAGGACACCTCATTTGGCTGTGTAATGAAGGACCTTGGTATGTGAAGGGATAAACAGAAACAGTAGGTGTCACATTTGTGACTTGCATAAAAGAAGGTGAGCAGTTTGGGAACAGGGCCTTCAGCCTGACAGAGTGAGGGTTACATTTTGCTGCTTTGAGAACATTACTGTTAAGACAACTCCATGTAGTCAATAATGAATTAGAATATAAATGATGTGTTTTATGGATATGAAGAAAGAGTTTAAATTCAGTATCAAGCTAGAGGCCTGGCATATACGATTTATAGGCAAGGACTGAGTTCAGTTCCACATGAATCGACTAAGTAGCTAATCTGTGCTAGCTCAGTGTGAGGGCCTTTGGGCTGTAGAGCAGCTCATCCTCCAGTACTTTGTGGCTTAGTTGTTGAGGACAGTTATACGTGGAGTAATTAAGTAGCTATACAAGATAGGACGTGGTTAAGTGCTGTAAGACGTGGTTAGGTGCTGTAATTAGTGGTGTGAGTGGTAAGTACTCTACAAGTTCAGGATGGAAAAGGGTTGGATGGAGAACGTAAGACAAGGACTCTGCAAATTCCTGGTGTTTGAGAGAGGGAAAGAGAATGGGTCTGAGTGGACTGAAATGGAACCTTTTTTTTTTTTTTTTTTTAAATGAAGAAATGCTAATTGTGAGTTAAAGACAAGCAACCTTTTTTTTTTTTTCAGAAAAAACAACCCTAATCCCAAAGAATGCATGACTTCTTTATCTTCCTTCCCCCATTTTATTCTGTTTTATCTCTAAGAGTCAGACAGTCAGAGGTGTAATAACAGTTCAGTGCAACTAGTCCACTCTGAGTCGTAGCAATAGTCAGTGTGCAAAGTCAGTGACTAATATGGGAGAACGTGAAATCCATTCATCAAAGTCAGTGACTGATATGTGAGAAAAGATGATTCATTTCACATAGGCCCTTGATGTTTACCTCATTATAATAATTGCAGAGTACATGTTGTATCAGCTCTCAACTTGTGCCATTGAAGGTTTTTATTAACGCAAGTTCACAGTTTCACCTGTTTTAGTTTTAGAACAGATACAATTATTGCTTTGGTCTGCCACCATCTCTTTGAAACAGCCGATCAAAGTGATGATAGATATACAGAGGGATTTGTTTGCTTTTTGTTTGTGTTCACACAGCAGAAACAAACCATGTTCAAGAGCTACCAACTGTTAAGCTGGAAACTAATGTGCTTTTGTGAAAGCAATGGAAAACAGCAGCAGGTTCTATTTTATGTTTTTACATTGCCTCCATCTAAACCTCTGCCTGTTTGGTTGGCTAGCTAGAGACAGGGAGAGCATGTAAGGCAAGCTGTCACCGTTCCCAGTAAGCTAAGTCTCATCACCAAAGCTACCGAGAGATGAGACTTGGTGGTCACCTGCTGCCTGGCTTCTTTGCACACCTCGAGAAAGGACAGGAGACCACCACCTGAAGAGCAGATGAGTTAATGCAGGCTTATTAACACTGTATTTATGTTAGGCATGGTCACAGGATCCAGTCCCAAAGGTGTAAGAGTATGGAAGCTCACCATGACCCTTTTGTTTCCCACCTAAGCCTTTCCCCATGGGAATCCATATTTGCTCTCTACTTAAAGCAAAAACCCTATAGGACAGAGTAGAACTGTGCCATCAGGTTCCCAGGCCTGGAGTCTTGCAGAAGCAGACTGCCACATCTTTCTCCCACTGAGCAACTGGGGGGTTCCAGCTACTGATCTTTCAGTTAACAGCTTAAGTGCTTAATCACTGTGCCACCAGGGCTCCCTTGCTCTCCACTTAGAGCCCTTTCAGAATTCCTCCATATCTCTTTCTAGGTAGAGGATGATATTTGCTGCACCCTTAGCTGTGGTTTATTTCATTTCCAATGTTTATCATCTGTCACAGTGTCATTGGCAGGATAGGGCCCCATAACAAAGCAAATGGGAGTAATATCTCCATTTCTGGATTCTTAAGTACTTTTTAAAAAGTCAATAATTTTTCAGTGTTCTCCTTATTTGTTTCTTCAATGTTGTACTTACCATTCTTCTTCTAAACCCACCAATTCTGTAGTTCACTTTCTACATGACCCAGTCCCTGGTCCATTCCCCCCATCTAAACCTGAGCCTCCAAATACATAGAGTATTTCCAAGCATATAGAACCATATACTTATACGTTTTTTTAAATTAAATGTTATATGTCCATTTAGACATTTCACTTCTCAATAGAAATAGATCCCTCCTCATTACTATCAACCTAACAATTAGCAGCCAATCCCCATTACCTGTTTTACTGTGTTATAGAGACTTTTACAGTTTGTGGCTTGCTTGTGGTTAGGTTTCAGAGATCGTATATAAAGACAAAGCAGGAGCTCTGGTAGCATAGTGCCTAAGGGACTTGACTGCTAACCAGGAGGCTGGCGGTTCAAACCCACCAGCCACTCCTCGGAAGGAAGCTTAGGCATTCCTACTTCTGTAGTGATAACTGCCTCGGAAACCCAAGGAGGGGTCGCTAGGAGTCGGGGCCGACTCGATAGCAAATAACAACAACAATATAAAGACATGGATTTTGAGCTGAGTTAATATGGGGATGAAGTGGATCAAACGTCTAACCTCATTGCAGAGGCCATTTTGTAGCTTAGCTGGGTGATAGAAAACAATTTAACTTCATACTCGGTGGACTTGGACATTTCTGACTTGGTGTAGAAAGTAGGTCTCAGGGACTGACTACTGAGTGAGGCCTTCAGTCCCTGGTCTGTGCCCCCATCTGAACCTGCACCCCCACAGATCCTACAGGATCACTAATGCATTTCCTCATGAAAACCAAAGCTCTTTTTGTGACTCTGTTTACCTTATTTCCTAGGTTGGCATCCAGCACTACTTTTTCTAATCAAGCAGAAAGGTAAGGTCCTAAACTGAGCCCAAACCTGACATTCTAATCTCTGCCGTGCATGTTCACCCTGTTTCCAGGGCACTAGCATGTACACTGTGGAAGGAAGTTTGTTAACTTCACAGCTTCATCTGTATGAAGAAAAAGAGGTCACAGAGAGCACTAGTTGTTCATGTTCTTTTCCTGCCTTAATTCATTAATTCATTTACTCAGCCAACAAATCATTTTGAGCCCACCCTGTGCTGGGCACTGTGCTAGATACTTAGGACACAACTAGGGGCAAAACCGACATGATTCCTACCTTCATGGGGAGGCCAACATAAGTGAAATATTCACACAGATTTGTAATTGTCAGCTGTGGTAAGTGCTGTGAAGAAACCATGCAGAATGCTGTGAGACTTGTATGATGCTCATTCATTCAGCAAGCGTGTTTTTACAGTTGCAGTTGATTTATTTACATAGCACATGATGCATTTCACAAAGTTTTGCACATTGTAATGCTTGATCTATGGTCTTAAGAAGTAAGTAGCACCAATAACATTGGAAGAAGAAACTAAGATAGAATAAGTTTCATTATGGATATAGACACAGATGAAAATAATTGCAAAATATTTTTCA